ACACACACACACACACACACACACACACACACAATTACACACATGTGCACGCGCTACAAACCAACACTTACTCCACATAGTATCCCTTCAAAACTTGAAGAAATCCACCGCAATTTTTCTTCAATTTCTGTTTTAAAATAACTCTTACAGAGTACAATAAATAGACCATTCCTTCTTCCTGAAAGGACTTTAAAATGCCCAAGCCTTCCTTTAATCTTGCTTTTTCACGGTAACCAGCCTATCCTATTATCATTTTCTTCTAGCTTTTCTCGACGTCTTGCCGCTAATATTATGACATAGCTACTTGAACCTCTTCGTTCCTTATAATTGAAAACGTATGTGACCTTGCTTTCTTTAAGGAGCAGAAGTCCCGTTACTTTATGTCTTTGATAAAAGTTCGTGTTTTATTAGTATGTTCCTGCTCCCTCGCTCGGAAAAACACATTGCTAGCAGATTTTTACAATGTCGTAAGTCTGATTTCCTTCGACAGTTTCACCTGTCTCTGTGTCTCTTTTTCTCTTGCTGTATGCCAATTTCATGAAACATGTATGCAAATCACAGGCGCTATATAGGCTTCATTTGATTTTGACTACCTGTGAAATGCATACAATAATATCATTTGATGTTTTGTGAATTTTGGTTCGAGTTTGGCTGTGTAATGAACATCAATTTTGTAGACAAGAATTCGAAACCGACATCTCATTTCGGAGGGATCCATGGTTTGTTGGAGGGCACTTCTGGTTGGTCCTGCTTCTTCACTTTCCTTTTGTTGTTTTTGTCCGTCTGTCTCTCTTTTTTTCCCAGGGAACTAAATGGCCTTTATTTTGTCGATGCGCTTCACTGTACTCTAAGAAACAACGCACAATCATTCATTTATAGTGTTTTACGGCACTGGCAACTGCATATTAAGGTCATATGAGCGCACGAGACACATTAAACATTTTTTTTCAGTTGGAAGAAATAATTTTGAATTTTGCCCGGGTGGAGGCCGAAGTTTACTCTTATCGATTTTTGGACCACCAAGAGATCTTTAACGTGCTCAACTTGTACACGGGACAACAATTAGGAGGAGTCTGTTTCCAGGGACTTGGAGTTACGCGTTCCACAATTCAGAGTACTCCCGCTGTAGTGGTACATTACACAACCCTCACTGCTCACCCAGAGGGAAGCTACTCCAATCCTCTCGCAACACCATGATATTTTATTCCAAGTGAAGAAGAAGTGTGCATAAGTGTTACGTGCTGCATAAGAAGGGAACACTTTTATCATTACCCTCGAGGATCTAGGATAACGGAAAAGTCAAGCCCCTCGAGTACCCGCACCCTCATCAAAGCCCGATTCGATGGTCCACCGCGCTCGGGTGAGTGATAGTTCTCGTCCGCTCTGATAAGTGGCCAATACTATTACCAGGGACGCTCTATACGTAACCCCCTGAACGCCAAAGCCTAGGTGGCGTGGTCAATTATACAGGAGCCGGTCATGAATCATGAAAAGTAATTGGTCGCTTACGTCAGCGAGAAAATTCCTTAAGTCCGCCATGGCTCCGCGAAGCTCATCGATCACGGTCCTTCACCCATCCTATTGCTTGGATATATAATTAATGAGGCCGCCTAGAGTGCCCCATTTCTAAATAAAAAGAAAAGAGAGAGAGATAGAGAGAGAGGGGGGAGAGAGAGAGAGAAAGAGAGGGAGA